TTAAAACTAGATCTAAGAAGTTGGGGGGGGGGGGGCAGATAACTCATGCTCAAATCACTCCCGGGACTCCCCCCCCCTGTATAACGAGACAAATATTTGCTGGGGCGAGTGCTCAAACGATGTGCTTACTTTACGATTATTGTTACCTTTAATACAAGCACATGATCGAGGTCATTGGTGTGGCCCTCGTCGTGTCCTTGATTAGGATGTAGACATGGTTGTATGATGTATATGGTTAGGGTAATGTCTCGCCCTCGCTACCCTAGTGTTTAGTACAGCTGAGGTAGATCTCTAGGTTTTTATGTTGACCACTGGCTAATGCTGTATTTGTTGGTCACATTCTGTGAGGGCGACACACGCTTGTAGTCTCGACATATCCAACAACTTTAGACAGACGTCTGTCACGAATCATCTTAGACTTTACCACACCACCACCATCCGCATGGTTTCTTCCAGGCTTCTCTTCGCCCTTCCCCCTCCCCTGAACAAAATGGAATTTATATTAAAAGATATATACTATTATACTTTTACCAGAGCCCCCCCCCCCACGGAGAAAAAAGTCTGAAAGAAACACTGATCCTCCGCCATTGCCGATCCCCCCAATGTCGTCGCCGGCCCTGCTTACCGCTACTGCCGGCCCTGCCTGCCGCTATTGCCGGCCCTGCCTGCCGCTATTGCCGGCCCTGCCTTCCGTCTTTTGTCGGATGCGATTAGAATATTGTATCCAACAATAATTTCCACTTTCTTTAACTGGCTAAAACACAATCATCCGTAAGTGGGGGACATCAATATGAGTTAATGGAGCTTTCACCTCGTGCGGTTCTGAAGCCGCTCAACTCCCGCTCTGTTCCTTCTTTCAAGTTCGCGTTTGATAATAGAATTGCGTCTAAATTGACATCTAATACTCTTGATCTTTCAATGACATTCTAATACATCAAGCTTGTTGTAGCTTCTCTGTTTAATTAAACTTGACTTTCTTGACTTAAAATGATTCTTGCAGTCAAGTGAGTTGACTTCTGTAGTCAGATATTTCCTGTTGACTTCATCACCATAGTGGGCTTCGAGAACTGATTTTTTCCCAGTATTAATACTAAAGTCGTCCCCCCCACACACACTCACACTTAAACTCGTCTGATTAAAGCACGTGTGTGATCTCAGTTCACGTGGCTGTGTAGCGTGACAGGAAAGAAGCCGTCTGCCCGCCCATGCCGATACAGACTTGCCCAACCATAACCGCAAGTGCTGAAAGCCACATAAACCCCAGCTAATCATGCCGAGATGAAGGAAAATACTAGCTCTCTAATGTTTGGCAATATAGATGCAAATTGAAGACTGCCCTCATAGTCGCCTCGGAAATGAAATGGGGGACCTCCGCGGCACACGTAGCTAATAATATCTGAGACCCAAGTCTGCGCGGTTCTCAATTCTTTAGCTCCAGCCCCATAGCTGGCTCGTGATTTATTGGGGAGGGTAGGGGAAGACAGACCGTCTTGAATGTTCTATTTTTGGAATATCGGAAACTCGTGTTTTCTGTACAAAATTGGGTTCAGTACTAGACGAGTTTATAGAAAGTTACGGTAAGCCGAATTATCATTTTATATAAAATCCATTCAATGTTTGCTCTTGTGCCTGGGTTGTATGTCTTGTCTTTTAAAAGATTCTAAAATTATGAGTTGGTTTTTTTCCAACACTAGTTTCCCAACTTGTGATAATTCTTAAATCAAGGCCAGACATGACGCATGCTTTCACTGACCGTTATTGGCCAGGTCAAATAGTACATAGGAGGTCAGTAAACGGATATGTTACTTTAGGTAAGGTTAGTATTAGTACTGTTAGTCGGGGTCAATACGTCGGCAGCTGATCGGAGAAAGTTTGAACCCAAACAAGTGTGGATAAAAAACTGGCTCAGTACGTCGGGACTTCGCTACCACATCTGTACATATCTGGGTCGGGGGGTGCCCGCCCCTCTGCACCCTACCTAGCGACGCCTACCAGTGTGGTTGTATGGTTAATGCCAGAAGCATTGTGTGTGTGTCACCCGGCTTTGGACGCCCCGACCTCTCCCGTCCCTGTACTCGTTCTCTTTGTTTAACCCCCGCCCCCCGCGCGTTTAATTTACCGGACAAGCTATTAGCTTTCATCGATTAACCAGGTGAAACTTTTTATTTTCAAATTAAATTATAATTAGGTAAAAAATGTTTTCCCCTACAATTATTGAACCACAAGATGCAGATTTTCTATTGTTCTACTCGCACAACCTGCTCGGTATCACTCGACGACTCAGTCAGTCATTAACTGTCGCCGCCTCTGTCAGTCATTAACTGTCGCCGCCTCTGTCAGTCATTAACTGTCGCCGACTCTGTCAGTCATTAACTGTCGCCGCCTCTGCCAATAGAACACTTCAAAAGCCAAATTCACGCTTCGAAAATTGGGAGAAAAGCAATTATTTTGGAGAAAATTGATGTTGGGAGTGAGTGGCGTCCCCTCGCCCATACACACGAGCACGCTGCAAATAGCTTCCCCTTGCCCGTACACACTGCGAATAGTCTCCCCTTGCCCGTACACACAGCGAATAGCCTCCCCTTGCTCGTACACACTGCGAATAGCCTCCCGTACACACGTACACATCCAGAAACAATCTGGCGTGTATCGAGAATCGCTGCCATTTTAATTGGAAAGTCCCGGGGAGGGACTTCAATTGTGACGCGTAATTATAGGCTGGGAGGTGGGAGGGGGTGTGAGAGGGGTGCCTGATTTGTTAGTGGGGGTGTGGGAGGTGTCTGATTTGTTAGTGGGGGTGTGGGGGGGGGGGGTGGGAGGTGTCTGATTTGTTAGTGGGGTGTCTGATTTGTTAGTGGGGTGCGTAGTGGGGATATTTTCCTATACTATATAGCAGCTCCGGTTATCTGTACGGGGCGGGTGGGGGGGGGGTGTTTGTTTAAAAAATTGATTTAGCGATACGTGCATGGTCTGTTTAGTGTACGGCGCCATATTGCTGGTACCATTTTGTTTATCCAACTTTTCTAAAAGATTTTTTTTAAACCTCGTCTTGACTTGTTTACGTCACGATTTCGATAATTCAACAAGATGTTCTCATTCCTGAATTATTTATAGAACTGTAGGCAGACAGACAGACTGTAGACCACTGAGTTCTACTCATTCAGCCACGGTACTATAACTATACCGTTATATGGTACCAGTCCTGTCTAATATACTGTTAACCCTAACCTAGCTTTAACCGAATCCAAACGTTCACTTTCTAACTAAATAATTTCACTGTAAATGTCGCGAGGCTATACAAAACAGCTGCAGCCATATAAACCTGCCATGTTGTTTTTATACAGGCAGGCTGTAAGCTTAGGAGGGGAAGTCACTCTCAATTAAAATGTGAAAAAAAGTCCGTGAATAAAAAACTTGTTTCCCTGTCTTGCATACGATTGTGACTTTTTGACAGGCGCACTTGATGTGCATTCATGCGAAACCACGGAGTGGGTGTGGGTGGGGGTAAATCCCTCCATCAACTGGTCACTCTTGGCTGGAAGCTTCCTGCTGGTCGGTTGATCTTGTCAACTCCATTTCCTTCCGACAAAATCTCTCTAAAGCGACGCAACTCACTGTCAGCTGATTACCGCCGCTGAATTAAGGCTTGTTTTAAATGTCATTTGCATCTTAGTCTCTTGTCATTTTAAATGCCATTTACATCTTAGTCTCGTCATTTTAAATGCCATTTACATCTTTGTCTATTCGGAAAGTATATTTAGTATCGACCGCTTCAATGTAACGCTCCAATGATTTTTGATGGAAATCAATTTTTTTTTCTGGGTTATTGATGTAGAAATAGCCGCCGCCACGCTTGGCTGGCGTTATGCTATTTCGGAGCTGTTTGTGTATCGATGTTATTAGTGTACGATCACAAATTGATCGGGTTGGTTATGTTGTGACCGCCGGAGCTGTTTCCTCAAGCGTGACCGGTGTTTGTGTTCCATGTTGGAGGACGTGCTCGTATGTCCACGGAGCAAAGGCACGTGCACTTGCGTTAATGTGGTCAGCCGCTCCACGGTGAGTACTGATTTGACCCCGGGATCACGCTGACCTACAGTATGGTTACACGACAAGTGCAGATGAATGTGGCTAAACCACACCTGTGGGTCAACTACTGTGGCCACCCGGCGATGTAGGCAAACTATCATCTTAACACGATGGCTCACCACATACACCCCACCGGTCAACCAATGTGATAATCTACACAGCGTGTGGCCAGTTGATGTGGCGCCCCACACCCACCTAGATTATCCCCATTAGTAACATCTTGAATTAAACGACGACTTGACACGTGTGGAGAATCAGTACTCACACTAGACATGTCAACACAGTGCCATGCTCGTGCCGCCATCCATAACCGAGCCAGCACGCGAGTCACTCACAGATTCAGGCACCAGTGATGTTGTAGCGTTTCGTTATGTGATACTGTAGCCTTTATTTCTGTTAAAGCGTTTATTTTTAGTTAAATATATCAGCGTTTATTTATTTACAACTTTGTTGATTGCGTTTCTTTAATAGTAAACAATCATGCTAAGAAAGATTGACCACAAGTCAACCTGCAATTTCAACACTGATCCAACACTAATGTTCCCACACTGTAAAGTGGACCACTCTTGCGAAACGACAGAAAATCAACCCTTTGCTTCAACAAAATAAGACCTTTAACAGCTCCAAATGTAATGTAATCGCCAGCCATACACATTCACATTAGAGTCAGGATTTGTCTAACATTATGTCCACCCTCTGATAGTGTTGTCAGGATTTGTCTAACATTATGTCCACCCTCTGATAGTGTTGTCAGGATTTGTCTAACATTATGTCCACCCTCTGATAGTGTTGTCAGGATTTGTCTAACATTATGTCCACCCTCTGATAGTGTTGTCAGGATTTGTCTAACATTATGTCCACCCTCTGATAGTGTTGTCAGGATTTGTCTAACGAGTGGTCTCTGTCCGCAGGTTGTTCGGGTCTAGCGGCTCGTGTTCAGCGTGCTGTCAGCCCATCCCAGCCAGCGAGCTCGTCATGAGGGCACAAACCAACGTCTACCACCTTAAGGTACGCCTGCAACTGGGGATGTAGCGGTCTGAGCAGGGGGGGGGGGGGGGGGGGGAGTACGCTCGGGGTTAGTTGGGGGGGGGGCAGTCAGAGCAGGGGGGTACGCTAGGGGTTAGTGGGGGGGGGGTGCATAGATATAAAGTATTAGCGTATTCAAAGAACGTTTTGTCATAGTCATGAGTGGGGGGGGGGGGGGGTCATTTAAATCCTGTCTAGGAATTATTGCTTAGATGGTGTCCCACGTTTGTAGTTAGGAGAGGGAGTCTACATGGGTTGGTGTCTAGCTAAGTGGTTGGTGTCTAGCTAAGTGGTTGGTGACTAGCTAAGTGGTTGGTGTCTAGCTAAGTGGTTGGTGTCTAGCTAAGTGGTTGGTATCTAGCTAAGTGGTTGGTGTCTAGCTAAGTGGTTGGTGTCTAGCTAAGTGGTTGGTGTCTAGCTAAGTGGTTGGTATCTAGCTAAGTGGTTGGTGTCTAGCTAAGTGGTTGGTGTCTAGCTAAGTGGTTGGTGTCTAACCAAGTGGTTGGTGTCTAGCTATGTGTTTTCGTTTGTTAGCTAACAGTTTTATTTTACCTGGGATTAGGGTAATTATGTTAGAGGAGCTTAAGACTTGTGTGTGAGTAGACCAGCGTGTGACCTCTAACCTCTTGTTTACCCTCGTGTGACCTCTGACCTTTATTTTACCCTCGTGTGACCTCTGACCTCTTGTTTACCCTCGTGTGACCTCTGACCTCTTGTTTACCCTCAGTGCTTTACCTGTTGCACGTGCCACACGCCGCTCAACACGGGGGACAGGTACGGCATCGTGCAGGGCAGTCTGGTGTGTGAGCAGGATTTTCCTAAAGCCGTCAAAGGCATGACCCCCCTCCCAAACAGGACGTCACATAAGGTAGGTGGCGCCGGTCATTTGTTGGTTAGTATAACATAAGATGGTCATTTGTTGGTCAGTATAACATAAGGTGGTCATTTGTTGGTCAGTTTAACTCTGTGGTCATTAGTTGGTCAGTTTAACTCTGTGGTCATTTGTTGGTCAGTATAACATAAGATGGACATTTGTTGGTCAGTATAACATACAAAGGTGGTCATTTGTTGGTCAGTATAACATAAGATGGACATTTGTTGGTCAGTATAACATACAAAGGTGGTCATTTGTTGGTCAGTTTAACATAAGATGGACATTTGTTGGTCAGTATAACATACAAAGGTGGTCATTTGTTGGTCAGTATAACATACAAAGGTGGTCATTTGTTGGTCAGTATAACATGCAAAGGTGGTCATTTGTTGGTTAGTATAACATAAGATGGACATTTGTTGGTTAGTATAACATAAGTTGGTCATTTCATGGTTAGTTCAACTCGGTGATCATTAGTTGGTCAGTATAACATAAGGTGGTCATTTGTTGGTTAGTATAACATAAGGTGTTCATTAGTTAATCACTTCATAGGTGGTGAGGAAATGGTAGCAATTGTGTACATGAGATGGCTGTGTGAAAGGCAAAGTGTACAAGAACTGTGAAAGGGAAAGTGTACATGGAACTGTTTGAAAGTGTACAAGGGACTGTGTGAAATGGAAAGTGTACAAAGAACTGTGTGTAGCGTACCAAGAGCTGTCATATTAAAACGCTGATACATCCTCCAATTAACGCTAACAATCCCGTCATTAGATAATTAGAACAACGTTTTGTAAATGTCAAATCTGAGACTTGATTTTTTAAAATATTCTCCACTTTCATCTAATGAACCTGTTTGCTTATAGGAAAGTAGGGCGAGACGTGCCTTATTAGGATTGGTTATAGGATTGATTAGGATAGACTGGTTAGGATAGACGGATTGGTTAGGATTGTTACCCGCATGTACATTGTTGGGATAGATGTACCTTGTTGGGATAGATGTACATTGTTAAGATAAATATACTAGGTTAGGATTTGTCAAGAAAAAATATTTGTTATTGGGCCAGTTGTACATTGTAATGACTGATGTACTGTGTGTGTGGTGAGACATGTGTGGGGTGGGTCATGTGTGTGGGGGGTCATGTGTGTGGTGGGCCATGTGTGTGGTGGGTCATGTGTGTGGTGGGTCATGTGTGTGGGGGGTCATGTGTGTGAGGGGGGGGGTATGTGTGTGGGGGGTCATGTGTGTGGTGGGTCATGTGTTGGGTGGGTCATGTGTTGGGTGGATCATGAGTTGGGTGGGTCATGTGTGTGTGGGGGGTCATGTGTGTGTGGGGGGTCATGTGTGTGGTGGGGGTCATGTGTGTGGGGGTCATGTGAACACATTGAGGGTGAGCAACGATGAACTTGTGTGCTGCGTGTGCTGTCGTCAGAAAGATCTACGTGTAGTGCAGGGTCTCATGTTTTCTATCAGATGAACGGTTGACATTTTTCTTGTTACCATCTTGTGGGTGGAAGGCTGCAGATTTTGGGACAAGTTTTAAATGTGTATCACTATCAGTACCGGTGTGTAGCTGTTGAAAGCTTGTATGTGTGCAGTTGTTCAAAGCTTGTATGTATGTGTGTGTAGCTGTTGAAAGCTTGCATGTGTGTAGCTGTTGAAAGCTTGCATGTGTGTAGCTGTTGAAAGCTTGTATGTATTTGTGTGTAGCTGTTGAAAGCTTGTATGTATTTGTGTGTAGCTGTTGAAAGCTTGTATGTGTATGTGTGTAACTGTTGAAAGCTTGTTGAAGCCTTGTATGTATCAGTGTGTAGCTGTTGAAGCCTTGTATGTATCAGTGTGTAGCTGTTGAAAGCTTGTATGTATTTGTGTGTAGCTGTTGAAACCTTGTATGTATCAGCGTGTAGATGTTGAAAGCTTGTATGTATCAGCGTGTAGCTGTTGAAAGCTTGTATGTATCAGCGTGTAGCTGTTGAAAGCCTGTATGTATCAGTGTGTAGCTGTTGAAACCTTGTATGTATCAGCGTGTAACTGTTGAAAGCTTGCATGTGTATGTGTGTAACTGTTAAAAGCTTGTTGAAACCTTGTATGTATCAGCGTGTAGCTGTTGAAACCTTGTATGTATCAGCGTGTAAATGTTGAAGCCTTGTATGTGTCAGCGTGTAGCTTCTATAAAAAAATTGTACGTACATGCTTCCACACCGCATGTAGTGCAGGGTCCAGTAAAGTTACATTTATCGACCCCTACACTGGCCTGACCATTATATTGATTGACTTACGTCTGCTATCGCTGAAATGCCCCCCCCCCCCCTCTCAAAATGGAACTTCCCTAACAAGCAACAAATTTTAACCAAATAAATGTATTCACATCCAGGACAGACAACACGTGAATGTTTAGGCCATGTTCCCTTAAAGTAAACATCTTTTTTTTTTAGTTATCTCCCTTTTTTTCTCTCTCAACATTTGTAGATAAACAGTTTCTAAAATCCAGCCTCAACTTTTTTTTATATCTTTTTTTTTCTCGATTCCATGTTTTTTTTTAAAAAAACGTTTTAGTTTAAAGTTTTTTCCCCCGCTCCTCTCTCCTCCCATCTCCATTTTCTGTGCATTGAAAAGCCCCATCGTCTGATTCGGGGAGTCCCGGTTTTTTAATAGCTTCATTTCGTTTGAACAAAGGGGAAGGAACTCTCATTGCTAATGGAAACTCCATCGGCCATCTGTGTTCTGTATTGTCAGGTATAGCCCGGCCAGGGTTTAGATATGATGGGGTGGGGTGGGAGGTTTGGTGATGTTGTTTTACAACATCCCGGGTCGGGGTGGGAAGGAATTTCAGGAATGTGAAGTTTGGGAACATGGTTGAAATATTTTAAGGTTGATAAAACGAGAAGGTGACGTGTAGTAAAAAATAAAATGTGAGGGCGAGGGGGGTGCCGTGACGTCACGCCACGAGTCACGTCATCCCTTCGAGTCGTGACCGAGTGCCGCGGCTTATCGCAGACAACAAATTGCTCACCGATATTATCAGGGCCGCCCGCCCCACAAAGAACCACAACTCATCAGCATCGAATGACTTAGCTAATTACCTCGCCTGATTGGGGCATCCCACTCCTCTCCTCGCAATCGTGCACATCTCTTCCGTTGGTGTGGTGTGGAGGGGTGACGAGGGGGGCATTAGGGCGCTGCAATGGCACCCCCCCCCATCCCCTTCCACACTTGCATACACACATCGCTGACTAAATCCACACTCATTTTTTTTTCTTCAAATAAAAAACCCTGCAAAGGTTTTTCTTTGGGGGGGGGGGGGAGAGATTCACGATCGCGTGTATAAAAACTAAACATTTTACCTTATTTTCTATTTGTTAGTTGTTGTTTTTTTATGTAGGACATTTTAAAAGTCGCCACATGTTTGTAAGACCGATAAGACGTACTGACAGGACATGATAAAAAGCCCTCGACTTACAGTAGGACATGTAAGATCAAATGGAGGACATCAGAAAGGTCCTCAACAGACTGTAGGACATTAGAGGTGTCCTCAACTAACGGTAGGACAAAGGTAACCGAGATTTCCCCACACACACTGACTGTAGGACTTAAGAAAATGTCCTACAGTCAGTTGAGCAACTTTGGAAAAGTCCTCAACTGACTGTATGAAATTGTATATGTCCTCAACTGACTGTAGGGCCTGACAGATTTCCTGACTGTAGGACATTATAGATGTCCTGAACCGACTGTAGGACATTATAGATGTCCTGAACCTACTGTAGGACATTATAGATGTCCTGAACTGACTGTAGGACTAAGGACCAAATGCTGGGCAGATGGTTTATGTTTCTCTTGGAAATCTCGTTCAAATCTCTCTCGCTCGCCGTAATGGTATACCCAACATTTTAATTAGTCTGACCCGCCGAGTGTAAGAAATCTGGCATATGGCTGGTGTAGAAGCTTCTCCACATTATGCCACGTTGCACTCCGGTCTTTGTGTTGGCCCGGTTATAATTGATGTTTATTTTGGGAGGGAAAGACTATAGCTGGTCCGATAATTTGCTCCCGAAATTATTACAGGGGAAGTAAATATGTTTCTGAGTTAGGGGGAATTAATCAAGTTGTAATGGTGTTTGAATAATTGGGGTCGGGTAGAGTGGAAATGGGATAATTATGTTCTGGGGGTGGGGGAGCCAGGGGTGCTATGAGCCGCATCGCGTGGAATGCGTGCTGGGCTAGAGCTGTCCTCTGGTGTGTAGAAGGGGAGGCTACTATGTGTTTTGTCGAGAGGGGTGGGGCTAGCGCTCCCTCCCTCCCGGCATGCAGTTTGATGGATGAGCCCGCCGGTTGTTTGATTACGTCGAGTGTGCGCGAGCCCGCCATGAGTTTTAATTATGTAAATTTATTGTCGCAAAGCGAGGTGTAAACACGGCATTTACGGCGGGGCCAGACACCAGATGGTTTGGTGAGTGATGCCTCATGGGCCCCCTCCTGCCTCATGGGCCCCCTCCTGCCTCATGGGCCCCCTCCTGTCTCATGGGCCCCCTCCTGCCTCATGGGCCCCCTCCTGCCTCATGGGCCCCCTCCTGTCTCATGGGCCCCCTCCTGTCTTATGGACCCCCTCCTGCCTCATGGGCCCCCTCCTGCCTCATCGACCCCCTCCTGCCTCATGGGCCCCCTCCTCAACCTCACTCTGCCTCAAGGTCCTCTACCTCAGCCTCAAAGTCCTCCCTCAAGGTTCTCTACCTCCCTCAAGGTTCTCTACCTCCCTCAAGGTTCTCTACCTCCCTCAAGGTTCTCTACCTCCCTCAAGGTTCTCTACCTCCCTCAATGTTCTCTACCTCCCTCAAGGTTCTCTACCTCCCTCAAGGTTCTCTACCTCCCTCAATGTTCTCTACCTCCCTCAAGGTTCTCTACCTCCCTCAAGGTTCTCTACCTCCCTCAAGGTTCTCTACCTCCCTCAAGGTTCTCTACCTCCCTCAAGGTTCTCTACCTCCCTCAAGGTTCTCTACCTCCC